TTTTAAAATGAGTGGCATTGTGATTTGGTTTCTGATTTTCAAAGAACTCCACCCAATATATTTGTATGATGGCAAAACAAAAATTCATACAATTATATTTGATGGTTTACACGATTTACTATGGTTCATACTTAATAAAAGTAACCAACAAAAAAAAAGTATTAATATACGAAGTACAGTAAATTTGAAAAAAGTAAGAAAAGTAAAAGAAGAGTGGGAAATGGATTGAGTTTTTTTTCTCTTTTCTTTTCTTTTCTTCCCCACACAAAACCATAATGCCTTAACCAACAAAAGCCAGACCATTAGACGCACTCCATAATCATCACTATCATCATGACTTCTTCTTCTTCTTCTTCTCTTCTCTTCCTCCATCTTCTTCAAACCCTTAAATCCACCATTGTCAACACTAACACCTTTCTCAACAATCTCACCACAGTTCCTCACACAGTTTCACTTTAATTTCTTTCTAAAAGCCATGATGAACAAGAAGAACACTCCTCCTTCTCTTGTTCATCTTCTTCTTCTACTTCCTTTCTTTGCTTTCAATTCCTTAGCTCTCAAGGTTTCACCTCAACTTTTGTCTCTCATTTCCCTCAAAACGTCTCTCTCTGGCCTTCCCTCTGCCTTTCAAGATTGGAAAGTCCCGGTTGATGGTCAAAACGACGCCGTTTGGTGTTCTTGGTCCGGTGTAGTCTGTGATAATGTAACGGCTCAAGTCATTTCCCTCGACCTCTCTCACCGGAACCTCTCTGGTCGTATTCCTATACAGATTCGTTACTTGTCGAGCTTACTCTACTTGAATCTCAGTGGGAATTCTTTGGAAGGTTCGTTTCCGACTTCTATATTTGATCTCACAAAGCTCACTACCCTCGACATCAGCCATAACTCGTTCGACTCGAGTTTTCCTCCCGGAATCTCCAAGCTTAAGTTCTTAAAAGTCTTCAATGCGTTCAGCAACAACTTCGAAGGTCTATTGCCTAGTGACGTGTCTCGTCTTCGTTTCTTGGAAGAGCTTAACTTTGGTGGGAGTTACTTTGAAGGAGAGATTCCTGCAGCTTACGGTGGTTTACAGAGATTGAAGTTTATTCATTTAGCCGGAAATGTTCTCGGAGGTGAACTACCTCCGAGATTAGGGCTCTTACCAGAGCTCCAACACATAGAGATCGGTTATAATCACTTCAACGGAAGCATACCCTCGGAGTTTTCGTTACTCTCGAATCTTAAGTACTTTGACGTTTCCAATTGCAGCCTCTCTGGTTCTCTGCCTCAAGAACTCGGAAATCTCACAAAGCTCGAGACTTTGCTTCTTTTCGATAATGGTTTCACCGGTGAAATTCCAGAGAGTTATAGCAACTTGAAAGCCCTCAAGTTACTCGATTTTTCGAGTAATCAACTTTCTGGTAGTATCCCATCAGGCTTCTCAAACTTGAAGAACCTCACATGGCTAAGCTTAATCAGCAATAACCTCTCAGGTGAAGTACCTGAAGGAATCGGTGAACTCCCTGAGCTTACTACATTGTCTCTATGGAACAATAACTTCACCGGAGTTTTGCCACAAAAGCTTGGATCAAACGGTAACCTTGTGACAATGGACGTCTCCAACAATTCATTCACCGGAACAATCCCTTCTTCTCTCTGCCATGGAAACAAGTTATACAAACTCATCCTCTTCTCCAACATGTTTGAAGGTGAGCTACCAAAGAGCTTAACTCGTTGCGATTCTCTATGGCGGTTTCGGAGTCAGAACAATCGATTAAACGGCACAATTCCGATCGGATTCGGCTCTCTACGCAATCTCACTTTCGTCGATTTGAGCAACAACAGATTCACCGATCAAATTCCGGCGGATTTCGCCACCGCTCCTGTTCTTCAGTACTTAAATCTCTCTACCAATTCCTTCCACAGAAAATTACCGGAAAACATATGGAAAGCTCCGAATCTACAGATCTTCTCAGCGAGTTTCAGCAATTTGATAGGTGAAATCCCAAATTACGTTGGTTGCAAAAGCTTCTACAGAATTGAGCTACAAGGAAACTCACTCAACGGAACGATTCCATGGGACATCGGACATTGTGAGAAGCTTCTCTGTTTGAATCTCAGCCAAAATCATCTCTCCGGAATCATTCCATGGGAGATTTCAACGCTTCCGTCGATCGCCGACGTAGATCTTTCTCATAATCTCTTAACCGGAACAATCCCTTCCGATTTCGGAAGCTCCAAGACGATCACAACATTCAACGTTTCGTATAATCAGCTAATCGGTCCAATTCCAAGTGGTTCGCTCGCTCATCTGAATCCGTTGTTTTTCGCCTCAAACGAAGGTCTCTGCGGAGATGTCGTCGGAAAACCTTGCAATTCCGATAGGTTTAACGCCGGAGATTCAGATCTAGACGGTCATCATAACGAGGAACGACCGAAGAAAACAGCCGGAGCTATTGTTTGGATATTGGCGGCGGCGATTGGAGTTGGATTCTTCGTCCTTGTAGCCGCTACTCGATGTTTCCAGAAAAGCTACGGAAACAGAGTCGACGGTGGTGGAAGAAACGGCGGAGATATTGGACCGTGGAAGCTAACCGCGTTTCAGAGGCTAAATTTCACGGCGGATGATGTGGTGGAGTGTCTCTCAAAGACTGATAACATCCTAGGAATGGGATCAACCGGAACAGTGTACAAGGCGGAGATGCCAAACGGAGAAATAATCGCCGTGAAAAAACTCTGGGGAAAAAACAAAGAGAACGGCAAAATCCGGCGGCGGAAGAGCGGCGTATTGGCGGAGGTTGATGTTCTAGGGAACGTACGTCACCGGAACATTGTTCGTCTCCTTGGATGTTGCTCGAATCGAGATTGTACGATGCTTTTATACGAATACATGCCTAATGGAAGCTTAGACGATCTTCTTCACGGTGGCGATAAGACGATGAACGCGGCGGCGGAATGGACGGCGTTGTATCAAATCGCGATCGGAATTGCTCAAGGGATCTGTTATCTCCACCATGATTGTGATCCGGTGATCGTACACCGTGACCTGAAACCTAGCAATATCCTCCTCGACGCTGATTTCGAGGCGCGTGTGGCGGATTTCGGCGTCGCGAAGCTGATTCAAACCGACGAATCAATGTCCGTCGTCGCCGGATCGTACGGTTACATTGCACCAGGTAACCTTAACTTTTTTGATTATTCTTTACTTTTCCCCAATTTTTTAAATTTTGTACTTTTTTGTCCCTTTGTTTTTATTATTCCAATTTTGTCCGTTTGTTAAAACATTCTTTTTGTTGGGATGACAACATCTGACACTATGACTAAAATTCTAATTTTGTTTGTTTGTTTTGGTTACAGAGTATGCTTACACACTACAAGTGGATAAAAAGAGTGATATCTATAGCTATGGAGTGATATTATTAGAGATAATCACCGGAAAAAGATCGGTGGAACCGGAATTTGGTGAAGGTAATAGTATCGTGGATTGGGTTAGATCAAAGTTGAAGACGAAAGAAGATGTAGAAGAAGTTCTAGACAAAAGCATGGGTAGGTCGTGTAGTCTTATAAGAGAAGAGATGAAACAAATGTTGAGAATTGCGTTGTTATGTACAAGCCGGAATCCGACAGACAGACCGCCGATGAGAGATGTTTTGTTGATTCTTCAAGAGGCAAAGCCAAAGAGGAAGACTGTAGGGGATAATGTGATCGTCGTTGGTGATGTTAATGATGTCAATTTCGAAGATGTTTGTGTTGTTGGTGGTGGTGATGTTAAATGTCAAAGGATTGGGGTGTGATGATTGTTTATATTTTTTCGTATTTGGAGTTTTTAATGTAACTGTAGATTTTCCATTTAGGGATGTTATTGTTAGAGTATATATATATGAGTGTATTTTTGCTTATGTTTCTTTTTGGTTATATGAATGGTAGTTTCGAATTTTGCTTTAAAGAAGATCATGCTTCTACATTTTCCGGGATTAAGACTAATTAGAGAGATTTGTATTTGAAGAGAATGAGCGTTCACTATCTTGCTTGGCCCATTATCAGCATGTGGATTCCGTGCATCGACAATACAATTGAGGTGCAAGTGCAACAAGCCAACAATAGTATCATTGTTCTATATTTGGAGCAAAATAACATGCATTGACATATAGATGTTTGTCCTTGCATCTACATTAACATTCATATGTTAATAATTTATGCTTTACGTCCGAAAATACACAAAAATTTTAGTTTTCTTAAATAAAATATCATTTTAAAAATTATTTTCATTTGAATTTTTAAAAAATTTGTAAATCTATGTAAGAAAAAGAAGACTAAAATTATTCATGTTTCTTTTTGGATATTTTAATATGTTAACATATACGCAAAGAAAAATTCAAACTATGACTCAATTCAATGATATATTTCCATTTAGCGTACTATTCTTATTTATCTTTAGTCGCGCTTTTTATTTCCATTAAACGTTGTTCTTATTACCTTATTATTCATATTCAATCAATTGAAACATTTGGATTTTATATCTTTGACTATAGCTAGTCAAACAAAACTTATTTAATTTGGATAATGATTTTATTTCAATTTTTACGATAAAAAAATGGAGAAATATTTTTTCAAAATAAAAATTATCTTGTACAACAATCTTTAGTTTAGTTTCTGATTAAACACATGACAAATAGTCTTTAGTATAGAAGAACTTTGTTTGTGAATAACATGTTATATGCGAGTTTAAATCCGATTCTATCACAATGATCACATTAGTACAAACAACTAAGCTAAATATGCTAGTCATCTAGATGATTTTTCTTTACTAACCTTTCTTATGTTTTTTTTTTGTTGCATTTGAAAATTGAAAGCCTTTTAAAATAAAAAAATATACTCTGAATAAGCGCTATTATGCATACAAAAACAGAAATTTAACCAAAGTTTTATTAATATTGGAAAATAAACTTAAAAAGGGTACAACAACATTAAAATAGAGAACATGTTTTATTCGTCGGAAAACAAAAAGAAAAGAGAGAGCATGTTTTATTATTTGTTTATCGGAATGGACTAGCTAGTCACCCAAATCTACGCTTCATAGATTATATGGTCACTTGGTGGAAGTCGACAAGTACTTGGGTGGAGCTAGGAACGTATAGTGAATCTTTTTGTGACCACCAAGTGCTTGACCAGATGCAAACACTCTGTTACAAATTTGACACTCGTAGCTTCGTCGAACCACTGGCCCATCTTCCACGGAATGATTCTTGTCGGAAATCTTCAATCGTTTGTTTCTGTGGCTCGTTCGATGACCGCCTAATGCCTGATACGAATGTAAAACTTGTCCACAAATATCACACGTATATTTGCTTTGTTTCTTACCCCTTCTCTCTTTCCCACCGTAATATGCGTTTTCATCAGCATAATCGTCTTCATCTTCTTCGCTGTCTCCTGTTAGGTCTCCCACATCTGAAATGAGAAACTTAATATCTTCATCTTCATCGTCTTCATCTTCATCTTCAGCAACGTACTCATCACTGTCTTCTTGATCTTCTTCAGAATCTATTTCGATATACTTTTCAGTATCTTTTCCTTTTCGAGTTGATACCAAACTATCAATCGATTTTGGATTCTGAAAATATTCTGACGGGTCGCTCTTCATTTGTAAAAGACATAAAGCACTTTCTTCAATAGTTATATCGCTTCTAGACTCTGTCGAATCTTCCTCTTCCAAATCCACGACGACAATCTTTCTCTTGGCAGTTATTTGTTGCTCACCTTCTTTGTTTAGATCTAGGTTTGGACCACCAACAACTTCACTGGTGTGGACAGATCTCACCAGAACTGTTTCATGAGATCTATAGCTTGCTCCAAGGTTGTTGCATGGTCGTAGTGATGGAGTGACCGAGCCAGTTGACGATGATGATCCGGCGGAAAGTTTCCGAGTGTGAGCCCTCATGTGACCACCAAGAGCTTTCCCGTTTGAAAATGATTTCTTGCACACCTGACAGGTTTTTGTTGCCTTGAGAAGTGAATACATTTTGACGATGAAAACACACAAAAAAGAAGGGCTTAGAGACTTTTTGGGGGTTAAAGATTGTGACTGCTTTTTCTGCGAGAAGTGTTTGTTGCTAAGTGATTTTGTGTCAATGGGGATACCCATATATATAGATGCTTGGAAGTGAGGAACATGAGCATGTACACAATTTCTATTCAAAAGGAGTTAACCACTTAACATAAGTGTTTGGTGCATTATGTTCCCACAATTACTTACAAGCATCTTTTGTTTTGGTCAAAAAAAACGAAGTCAACAATTATTTACAAGCTAATCTTTATCATTATTATTTTTACACCAAACAATTTTACTAATATTAAATCGAGATTACAAAGTCAGTATATAAATTTTGTTACGCTAACTTTTTTACTTATATGAAATAAATAAGTTGTAAATTTTGGTGTTTTATATAAATAACTATTTATAATATAAAAACAAATTTTATGGCAATCATATTCTATAAATTTTAGTTTAAGTGATAAATTATGATCTAATACACATAAAATATATAGTTACGTTCTTCTGTTATGGAAATAAGTCATCGTGTATTTTCTGATAGCTTATGAAGATGATGTTTGATTAGAAAACTATCTCCGGGAGATAAATACTGGAAAAATTAAGTTTACAATGTTGATGTGAGTAGTAAATAAATTACATATCAGTATTATAAAACAATTTATATAAGTAAATACAAAATTATCATCAATTATTCAAAAAATTAATAAATTATACTTGATATACTCACCTTTGGTAAACTAATTAATTAATTAAATAGTTCAATTGATTAATTGAGTAATGAAATATTTGTTGCTAGTATAAATATATGTTGTGACTTGTGTATAGAAAAGTAGTCTATATAGATTAGAAAAGTATTCATACAAATTGTATGAATTGTGAGCACTTGAAATCAGTAAACGAAGTTTAGAACAAAGCAATACGTTTGACCAAATTCGGTATTGGGCCAGAAAACGCCAAAGCTCATCTAAGAAAGATAAAGAAGTCGAACCTCATTTTGTCAGGCTTGTGATTACTCCTTACACGCAGAGGCAGAGCAAATGTATATATTTCCGGTCCCAATTAATGTGCACGAAAATCTAGTTGAAGATTCGATTGTTATAAAAATATACGTTTCTTTCGAACCATTAGTTTATGTTGCGATCATCTCTATGTAGTAGTAACATGAAGGGTTAACTCCCCAAAACATAAAGCAGATTTAGAGACTGTCTCGTCTCTATCTTTCTATTGAAAGTGACTAAAAATGCAAACATCGACAGTGATGAGTTTTTTTGGTCGTATGAATCTCCCTCACGCTCACAAAGTTCCTCTCTGTCATATTAAAAAACAGACCAACGACCCTTCTCTTTTTCCTCGCACTTTGCTTCAAAACCACACTCTTTCTCGGAAGCCTACAAAACAAGATTCGTTCTATGTAATGGCTACTAGTGGCGATCTTGAGAGTACACGTCCCTTGGCTCAGTTTCCCCCCACTGTTTTAGGAGATCACGTCTTCTCTGCTCATGCCGACGACTCTGTAAGTACATAGACAAGAATTCAAGAACCCGATATGTTTTCAAACAGAAGTTCCTGAATATGTATTTCTTACTTTCATATCTTTGTAGAAATTTGATGCTATTGAACATGAGATTGAATCGGTTATGAAGCCTTACGTGAGAGACAGACTCGTGTCTTCTCGCAGCTGTGACAAGGAGAAGATTCGTCTCATCCACTTGCTTATCAGTCTAGCGATCTCCCATTACTTCGAAGAAGAAATCGAAGAAATCTTAAACCAGGCTTTTGGGAAGCTGGAAGGCTTGATTGCCGAGGAAGATGATCTGGAAACAATCTCTATCATGTTTGAAGTTTTTAGACTATACGGACACAAAATGCCGTGTGGTAAGAGCTTAATGTTAAGTTTCATGTACTTCTAACTCAAAAGCAGTACATTATATCTTATTTTTGGATACTTATTTTGTTATAAATGTCGCTTTAAATGTTATAGATGTGTTTGAAAGATTCAAAGGAGAACATGATGGAAAGTTCAAGGAAAGTCTAGTTGGAGATGTTAGAGGAATGTTGCAGTTGTACGAAGCATCGCATCTCAAAACAACAAATGAAGATATAATGGAGGAAGCGCAGATTTTCACTAGGAATCACTTGGCGGCAGTAACTACTAATCATCCACATCTCTATAAGCATGTACAAAACACATTGTTTATACCTCGATATCATTGCATAGAAATAGTAGTTGCAAGAGAATATATCTCATTTTACGAACAAGAAGAAGATCACGAGGAGAAGCTTCTCAAGTTTGCAAAACTCAACTTCAGCTATTGCCAGCTGCATTACGTTCAAGGGATCAAAATTATCACTAAGTAAAGTCATTGTAGCTATTTCATAAACCATATATATATATATGTATCTTCAATCTTGTTACATTGGTGGTCTAGATAATTTCATATGTGATTTCTGCTTATTTGCAGATGGTGGAAGGAGCTAGATCTTGCATCTAAACTACCTTTTACCTTCCGGGACAGAAATGTGGAATACTATTTCGGGATGATGGGAATATATTTCGAGCCACGATATTCCCTAGCGAGAATTCTAGGCACCAAAATTTCCATGATCATGACGATCGTTGATGATACATATGACGCATATGCTACTCTTCCCGAAGCATTATGTTTCACTGATGCTTTGCAAAGGTACAAAATTTTATATTTCTGGTTGGATTGTGAACACTCTAGTCCTCTAGTCTGATAGACTTAATGGTTATAGGTGGGATATTGAAGCCATCGAAAGTCTACCAAGCTATATGCAAATTATCTTTAAAAATTTGTGGGAAATTGTAAAAGACATTGAACAAGAAATGAGTTCGCGAGGAAGATATGGCGGTGTGCAACAGACAATAGATGAGGTATGCAATTGCTATTAGAGAAAACAAGGTAAAACCATATGGTGTGTGTTTATTGATATTGGAAATTAAAATATAGATAAAGAGCCTTACGAAAGGGTATATAGAGATAGCAAAATGGGCACGCGCAGGTCACGTGCCAAGCTTTGAGGAACATTTAGAGGTTGGAGTGATCACAATGGGAATGGATGACATGGTAATCTACAGCTTTCTCGGGATGGAAGATTGTGATGAGAAGATAATGTACGAGTGGTTCGCCTCCAAACCCAAAATCTTTCAAGCTTTCAATGTTGTGGTTCGTCTAACAAACGACATAGAAACGTTTGAAGAAGAGTTGAAGAGAGGAGAAGTGGCGAATGGAGTCAACTGTTACATGAAGCAACATGGTGTTAGTCATGAGGAAGCGGTTAAAGAATTGAAGAAGATGATTAAGGATCACCATGAGATAATGATGGATGAGTTCTTTACTGTTTCGTCTACTCTGCCACGCCAAATTCTAATGAGAGTCTTCAACATCGCACGTGTTGTCAAGTTGTTCTACAGAGATGGTGATGGATTTGGCCACCCTGATGATATTCTCAAAGCCCAATTCACCTCTCTGTTTTTATAAATTTCATGTTGTGTCTTGTTTAAGGTTTGTGTTTTAGTTGTGTTTTGAATCATAATTATGTTTGAATCGAACAACGTGTACATGTTAGGAATGTGCACGATTCTTCCGGAAAATTATGCACAATACATTATGCAATATTTTAATCTCACGTAAAAAAAAATTCAAAACAGTTGTATATATTTTTACAGAATAAAATTATTTTTGATTTAGTTAAGATTTTCATTTATTTTCTTTGTTAAACAGTGAACACTAGTGTTGACCAAAAGAAAAAGGGTCTATTGGGCTAGAAAAGAATGTGGCTAATGGGCCACCTTATTGGGCCCATTTGTGTTCGGTCATAAGATCTCGAGATCATCATCGTACGGTCAAGACGGCGGAATATAGTTAGCTATATACACGCGACGTACAATAGCAATCTCTCTTTCCCGCCCTAAGCAGTCGCATCAATGGAACTTGCTCTTTTCTAATTTGTTTCAGCCGAGTGAGAGAAAACCCTAGAACGCGATTAGCCATGACAAAATCTGGGGCTCGAGCCAGTGATTCATTCATCAAACAGCGTTCTTGTTAGATTCTTTACCAAGTTATCATCTCAGGTTGCTAAAGATTCAGTCTTTTGAGTTTGTTGATGTTTGTTGCAGGAAAGAAAACGGAGACGCAGGATTTAACGAGTTCCCATGACCAAATCAGTCATGGTACGTCTCGGAGAGTCTCAACCAACTCTCAAGGCACTAAGATCAGTATCCGGATATTACAACCTCACACTTAGCTTACAAGTCTCTCACCCTCACCCAAGAATCCACTCTAGACGTTTTTACCAAGAAGAACAAAGAGATAAGTGAAACCCTCAACCCCTGTTTTCTCTCTCTCAAACTCTCTCTAGAACTCTCTCTCTTAGATGAATACAAAAAACTTGCTTAACCTCCAAGCTGAAAGCTGCTTTCCTTTTAATCTGTGCCAAGCCGTTCTCTGCAGGTGCTAGGAGACAAAACAGTACTACACACATCCTGCCTTTGCACCAAAACGATCCCTCACTCTGCCGTTTCTATCTCTTGGGCTCAAGTCAACAGCAGACTCCGATTGGGCCTTTACCGGCCCATTCCCTTAGACTCAAACCCAGCCCGTCTAAAGTCCAATCACCTGAAACGACAATCTCCATCTTGATTGCCTTTAGACGACACAACCGAAGAGTTTACCCTCTCCAGTCAATTTCCCCGACGATTAACCTCGCCGGAGACCTAGCCCCTTCACCGGACTAGTGGTGGTGCCGAAGCACCTTCAAGTCACTCAACGCATCATCAAATTTCTTCACAGGTACTGATTTTGTGAGTATATCAGCCGGATTCTCTTTGGTGTTTATCTTGATGACTTTTAGAGTTCCTTCCTCGATCTCATCTCTGATAAAATGAAATCGCTTCCTGATGTGTTTCGTACGCTCATGATGAACATTGTTCTTTGCCAAACAGATTGCGCTTTGGGAGTCGCAGAAGATCTCTGTTGCATGTTGCGGATAACCAAGCTCTTCTGCGATTCGCGACAGCCACAGCGCTTCCTTTGCTGCCTCAGACAACGCCATGTACTCTGCTTCCGTTGTGGACAGAGCTACTACCTGTTGAAGCCCAGATCTCCAGCTTACCGTGTTCTCACCTACTTGAAACACATACCCGGTAATTGATCTGCTTCTATCCAGATCTGCTGAATGATCACTATCACAATAGCCTCTTACTTTGAAATCCTTAGACTTTGTGAATGTTAGCTTATAATCTGCTGTGCCTCTGATGTATCTAAGTATCCATTTCACTGCAGACCAATGCTCTCTGTTGGGACAGCTCATGAACCGACTCACCAAGCCAATTGCATATGCTATATCTGGTCTTGTTCCAACCATGGAGTACATCAAACTCCCCACAGCACTTGCATAAGGTATGTTCTCCATTTCAGCCTCTGCTTCAGCTTTGTCTTCTGGTTTGGTGCTAGATAGTTTGAAATGAGAACCCATAGGTGTCATCACTGCTTTACTTTCCAGCATGTTAAAGTTCCTGATCACTTTCTCCAGATACCTTTGCTGAGACAACTGCAATATACCCTTTTCCCTGTCTCGAGTAATGTCAATTCCCAGAATCCTGCTAGCCTTTCCCATGTCCTTCATATCAAATTCATCTCCCAGAACCTTTTTCAACTTAGCAATCTCTTCCTTAACCTTAGCTGCAATCAGCATGTCATCCACATACAAGAGTAGGTAGATGTAGTCTCCTTCACTTAGGCATTTGAAATACACGCAGGGATCATAGCTGCTTCTTGTGTATTTCTGAGATTTCATGAACTGATTGAACCTCCTGTTCCATTGTCTAGGAGCTTGTTTCAACCCGTATAGAGATTTCTTTAGCAAACATACCTTGTCTCCTTTTACAAAACCTTCTGGCTGTTCCATGTAGATTTCTTCTTCTAGATCACCATGTAGAAAAGCTGTCTTCACATCTAGCTGTTCTAACTCCATGTCTTGATAAACCACCATAGAGAGTACCAACCTAATAGTTATGTGTTTAACTACAGGAGCAAACACCTCATGATAGTCAATCCCTTCTATCTGAGAGAAACCCTTTGCAACCAGTCTAGCCTTGTATCTAGGATCCTCACCATCTGTTAAACCTTGTTTCAACTTGAAGACCCATTTACAACCAATTACTTTTCTGTCTTTTGGCCTATCCACCAGGATCCATGTATGATTTTTTAGAAGTGACTCCATCTCTTCATCTGATGCTAATATCCATTTATCTCTTTCCTTGCAGTTCATTGCTTCATGAAAACTTTCAGGCTCATCAAGATCAATGATATGAGACATTACCAGAGCATAGATAGCCACATTACCATGATCATATCTGCTAGGAGGTCTGATGTTTTGTCTCCTGTTTCTGTCTCTTGCTAGCAGATAAGTGTCAAGATCCTGTCCAGATGCATCCTCTGATGTATCTTCTTCTTCTTCTATTATTTCAGGATCTACCATGGCTCCATCTTCAGTGGCTCCATCTTCAGTTACCACTGATGGAATTTGCTGTTCTTGAGGAGATTCCCCAGAACCTTTGCTTCAAATAAAAGCGATTTGGCAAGGTCTGTGCTTGGTACTCATTCTCTAGAGCTTTCCACATATCATATGCAGTAGGCTCTGTCATCACCTTCCTCAGTACTGGGTCTGTCAAAGCATGCCCCAGGAGGTTTCTAACCCTTTGATCTTTCTCTTTCCATAATGGATCTGGCTTCTCTCCCTCTTTAACAGGTTCCTTTGGTTTGAGCAGAGCACTGAAACCCAGAATCTCCAGCTGACCAACCATTCTGTGCTTCCAGAGAGTAAAGTCACCATCACCATCAAACTTATCAACCTCAAACCGACCTTTGGTAGGTTCCAGCGTCTTTCCTTCTGAATCCGACATCAAAGATCCCACCTTTTCAGGTAAAATCACCAAAGCTCACACCTTTTCTACTTTAGTCCTCTGAAGAACCCTAGAAATAGCCTCAAAGACTCACAAAACACAACAAAGTGAAGAAATGAGCCTTAAAGGTGGTACCTTTCTTCTATTCAACAGATAACACCTTTAGAATATCTTAAAGCTTTCAAAGATTGAAACTTTATTACCTTCCTGAGTCTCTGGTAACCTGTGCTCTGATACCACTGTTAGATTCTTTACCAAGTTATCATCTCAGGTTGCTAAAGATTCAGTCTTTTGAGTTTGTTGATGTTTGTTGCAGGAAAGAAAACGGAGACGCAGGATTTAACGAGTTCCCATGACCAAATCAGTCATGGTACGTCTCGGAGAGTCTCAACCAACTCTCAAGGCACTAAGATCAGTATCCGGATATTACAACCTCACACTTAGCTTACAAGTCTCTCACCCTCACCCAAGAATCCACTCTAGACGTTTTTACCAAGAAGAACAAAGAGATAAGTGAAACCCTCAACCCCTGTTTTCTCTCTCTCAAACTCTCTCTAGAACTCTCTCTCTTAGATGAATACAAAAAACTTGCTTAACCTCCAAGCTGAAAGCTGCTTTCCTTTTAATCTGTGCCAAGCCGTTCTCTGCAGGTGCTAGGAGACAAAACAGTACTACACACATCCTGCCTTTGCACCAAAACGATCCCTCACTCTGCCGTTTCTATCTCTTGGGCTCAAGTCAACAGCAGACTCCGATTGGGCCTTTACCGGCCCATTCCCTTAGACTCAAACCCAGCCCGTCTAAAGTCCAATCACCTGAAACGACAGTTCTGGGTCGGGTTCGATTCTGAGGATCAAAGTTGAGAATTTCATGTGCCATAGTAATCTCCAGATTGAGTTTGGCGAATGGGTTAATTTCATCACCGGCCAAAACGGAAGTAAGTCTTTTCCTTTTTTTAAAAAAATTGATTTTTAGAGCTCCGATTGACTAAATTTAGTCACGCATGCCTTATTGGAAATTGGGTTTCGCCGGATTTTGAAATCTGGATTTTTCAATTTGATTCACTGTGTTAACAATTCAGGTTGGGAGCTACTGGAAATATCCTTCCTTTGATTTAGAATTGGTTTATTCCCAGGAGGGTCGTATGTTTAGTCATGAATAAGAATTTTAATCTGGACTTTTGATTGAATATTTTAGAAAGTTGTCAGCTTCATGGAGTGTTAAACGACAATCAGAATTTGTTTTGGCGTTGGATAGTCTCTATTACGGACTTACGGTTACGATTTTCTCTCTCTACGATAATATTTCTGAGAGATTGAAAGCTAATTTCTTGTTTTGGGAAAAATCTCAGGTGGAAAGAGTGCAATACTGACTGCCCTATGTGTTGCATTTGGATGTCGAGCGAGAGGGACTCAGCGTGCTGCCACTCTAAAGGATTTCATTAAAACTGGATGCAGGTTTTGTACACTTGCTCTATGTTTTCTCTACAATATCAGATTTTCAGATTATTATTCTTCTTTCTCATTTTTTTAAGACTGTCTCTTGTCATGATTAGGAAATGACTAATGGTAAGAGTGACTAAATTTTTTTTTCCAATTTTGTTGGGATTTCTTTGCAGCTATGCCGTTGTCCATGTAGAAATGAAAAACAATGGAGAGGATGCTTTTAAGCCTGAAATTTATGGTGACATTATAATTATCGAACGCAGGATAACTG